ATATTTTAGAACATTAGGTGGGTAGTGCAAAATAAAGCTGTTCATGTTTTTAGAAGCTTCAAAAATAAGAATACATTGCAAAAGCTATATCAAACGAACTTGCAATTTGATTAAAAACTGATTTAAGTAGTTTAATTGTGATACTTTTTTTTTGTTCTGATAGATTTATGCGTTAATTTCTTCTGACTGATTTGTGCATAATTCTACTCAAGACTAATCAGTTCCAATAATTCTATTCCTTAGGATAATATGATGTGATTTCGTAGAGATGTTATATATTGATCTCTACAACATCATGTCATGGTTTACTTCCTGCTAATTTTATATCATTTTTTTGATAGCGAGATATTTCTTTCTTATCCAGTTAGATTGGTCTCGTAAATTCGGAAGTGTGAAGTCTTTTGTGCTACGAAACTTGAATACCACTGATGCTAATTTCTGTGGAACACTGCTGGACTTTGTGCGTAAATTGAACGCAAAAGCACGTAAGCGTCTGGAAATTGCTTTGCTTGAAGAACTTGATGATATCTGGAATGATCGAAATCGATCGTATCAAGCTACGTTTATTCTGGAACTTCTCAAGCAGTGCGGTTTTGATAGATGGTTTACTGATATACCATTGATGGATTCAATTTTTAACAGTGACATTGCAAATATAAAGTCAGTGTTTTATCCGCATTGTTACTATTAATTCCGTTTTTTTATAACTGCTTGCCTCAGCGATCTAGGAAATAAAATTAATAAGGCAAAGGTATTGGGGACTATCACAGTTTTTCCACAATTTTAAGAGATGAGACATGTAAGCCGACAAATTTATAACATTTTCCAATGCTTTTTTTTTGCTTTGACCATCTCTTAAAGAAGAGAATTCAAATTACAGTACGTATAAATCCTTACATTTATTTTCTATCTTAAAAACTAGTTCAGATTATAGAGTCGATTTATTTTAATTTGGATATGCAGTTAGACAGTTGCATTGGATTCAAGTTTATATGGCAAAGAATTGTAAAAAAGATTTACCATTAATAAGGAATAAAAGCATATAATTAAGTCATCCTACTAATACGTAGTCATTATGCTTTCGTTGTCGTGATAATTGGACTTAGATCTACACTACCATTCATCGATGGTATAACATTCCATGTTAATTTTTGCTTTTATTTTTTACTTTCAGTGATGGGATTTAAAGAAATTAAGTAAAAGTGTTATCAGATTGAATCGATTTAATATGTTTTAAATAATATTTACGGGTCGTTAAATTGCAGGATAAAATTACTAACGTGTTTGTCGCCTGCGATGCCTGATTGTGAGATCTTTCTGACCGATAAATTTGTAGAAATGCTCAATAATGACAGCATAGATGGTTTAAATTATCTCGTAAAAGTAATGTTGCAATTCAAAGAGCCGAAAGAGATTTTGGATTTAATGAAAGAAACGAAGCATAAAGATTCGAACAGTAAGTTTGTTTTTTGGTTAATTCTAACGATAAGACAATTGCGTTTATAAAATGAGCGTAAAATGTGCAGAGAAATAAAATTGAGAATGATAAAAGTTAATGTTTGATTTTTCTAAAGTCCTGACTGAGTTCGATGTTATACAGAATTTTTTTAAACTAATATTTTTCCAGGTGTAAAAATTACGCTGACTTCACTGATAGAGAATTTTGCTGTTGAATCCGTTTTTGATCCTTCTTTCTGGTTTGACGTTTGTATTAAATCCAACGTTGATTTGATTTCATTCAGTGGCAGTGAACACAGTGGACAATGCGCATCACTTCCTGAACTATACAGAAGACTGTATCCTTCAGCTTCGCCAACATTGATGATAAGCGATAAACAGCGTAAAGCAATCGATCAGTATTATCATACTTTAAAAGTTAGTTATTCCTTGCCTTTTTTATTTCTCTTGGATTGAAATAGTTCTGATGATTGACTCTTGTGTTTCTATAATAGAGCCTAGTAAAATCCAAGTTTTGATTCAGACTCTTAATTTATCACTATTTCTTGCTTCTAAAAACAGCTAAGTTTTGTTTGCAAATGTTTCTCTATATTTTAGTTTGCCACGTTGTATATTCTAGAAAATGAACAAGTTTCATATGCAATCATTTAGAGTCTTTCCTGAAGGAATCAGTTTAAAAAAAAAAAAAAAAAACAACTGTTGCTAGCTTAATCAGTAGCAACTGTATTTTGAAATGTTCGATCAAACATAATATTTCTGTAGAGTTTTTTAGATAAACTGCGAAATGTTGGCATCTTTATGCGAAACGATAGGAACGAAGAATATTATTAAAGATGCATACAGTTCGGTATGGAATGTTTTGATGCGAAGCCGTCATAAAGGTGTGATCAATGATTGTATCATCTGTTTTAGCAGGATAACAGCTTGTTGTATGGTGAATGATTTACATGATATAGTATATCAATATCTTGAAAAAGTAAGAGTTTCGGTTTTTTCGATTTGCTAATTTTCATTACCTTTACAAATCTTTTTAATAAATTTCATTTCTGATAGTATCATTAAAACTTGAGTAGCATCGAATTTTTTGGTGGCAATTAATTCAGTGATGTATAGTGATAATTTACCATCTTTTTAGTAAATCTATTTTTTCTAATGATGATGATGATGCTTTAAACCCATTATTACTGCTATAGAATTATGATCGGGTAGTATCAAAGTTTGGAATTTTTGTAGAAGTTTCATGTAGTGCTGGATATTTAGTAGTGCTGACTTTAAGTTCTTCCTTTTCTCCAGTCAGCACGATTTCTTCCGGATATTTATGGAAAGCAGATTTGCTGAACGCATAATGCAGACTTGTATGAGTAAGGTGGTCCTATTGATTTATGGGCCATTGATTTAGTGATGAATATCCTGAAGCACAACCATTTGCTCTTAGCTAAGTTTTCTTAATAAAACTGATACTCAATTTTTCTTGATCATAAACTTAATCAGCAGGAAAGCTGCTATATTGGAGTGTCTTAGCAAGGAATTATAGAAAATTAAAAGTAAAGCATATTACTTTATGATGCCGTTCGAAAAATTATAAAGATGAAGGTTTCATTTCACTTTTTTCTATTTCAGACGAAAAAATTATCTGTGGACCCTGAATGCACGTCCCGTAATTTAGCATTTTGCTTGATATTTAAATTATTCCACGAAATATTGAACGAGGGTAACAATATCATTGACTTTATGTTTGGAAATGTTCACGCATGTACCCCAGTGATAGTTGTACGATTAATGAAAATATTGAAAACTTTCTTGTATATGGCAAGTTTTGGTACGTCGAATTTTTCTAGCTCATTGTAACTCATCATTTGCACCCATTTTCAGTGTCGGCTATGTTTCTTTATGAAATAAAAGAACAGATATTAAGTTCTTCTGCTATATATTATGGGAATATATTATGGTTTTTCTAGTACTTGATCGAAATTTAGTGCTAATAAGTTGAATAAGATAACTTATATCGTGAGGATTTTCTGGAATGAGATAGTTTTTATAGTAGCGCAGCGTTGTTATTATTATTTAGTATTTGATTAAGAGAAAAAGGAGAAAAGGAAGCGAAATGACAAGAAAAGAAAGGAAAATGTTAGGAACAAATGGGAAAGGAGAAAGGATGATAATTTAACTTCGCAATTAATATATTATAGTTTTTTACACAAATTTTTGTATTTCCAGATGTGACCTCCTGTACTGTAAAAATTTTTAAATCAGTGTTGAATTTCTATCGGATAGGTAATAGTATGGTACGAAATGCAGCTTGTCATTGTTATGGTAAAATTTTGTTTTGCTTTGTTAAATGCATTAGGGAAACTAAATTTCATGAGTGAAAAGGCTTATTGGAAAAATGTAGATGATTGCAAAGAAATAATAAACAATACTATTTTATGATTGCAACTTTTAATTTAACTTTTAATAAATGTACGGGTTTTTTCAGCTGCACTGGTTCACAAACTCATAGATGACGCAGAATATGGGATTCCTCTTTTTACGTTTCTTTTTCGATACGATTTATTATGGCATGAATATTGCCAACAATTAGAACAGGCAACGGTACACGATCCAGCTTTAATATTGTTGCTTTCATTACTGGAGAAATTACGCTTTGTGAGCAAATCATTTTACGCTACAACTCAATTAAAGTAAATTTTTTAAATTGTTACTTTTGAAAAATATATGTCATAAGTGTTTTCTTTAAAAATAAATCCATTATTGTAAATGGTGCCTGAATCTATATACCTATATCATGTTTACAGAGTTGAGGTGAAAATGCTTAAATTAAAATTATAAAAATTAGCATTGACAAATTCAGATTATGATATGGTGGAGAATGAGCTTTCAATTACTGAACATTGTTACATGCCTAAAAATAATGGAAGTTTCTTACTATATTGTGCAATAGTTAAAATGCATAGGCAATGGGTAAGAGGCATTGGCAGATATGAAGAAGTGAGTTTTACATACAAAAGAAAAACCAAAATGTTTAGCTAACTACAGTTATGCAAAATCCAGTCGTTAAGTAAACTAACTGATTACAGTAAGTTTCCAATGCTAATTTACAATGATTTTATACCGAATATATTATACAGTAACTAAACTATATTATACAGTATTATACACTATATTATACTGTATTATACAGTAACTATATTATACAGTGATCAGTGTTAGGATAGTAAGGTGCAAAGAAATTCTCGTTGCAGACATCTGCAATCGATGGTAAGCAAACTTGTTTCTTTACTCGTGGTGAGTCCTAATCTACGAGTCAATCATTTACTAGTGACTTCCTTATTACGTCTGATACCATATAAAAGAAGATTAACATACCGATTGAAAAGAATCATGGAACATAAATTACCATTGAATATTAAGAATGCACTAAGCTATGCTATCTCAGAATTAGAGGCGTAAGTTTGAATTTTTTTTAACGTTTAATGTAAAATTTTCCTCAACTCGGTGCCATATCTGTTGGTGGACTATAATCTATATATTATCATATACTACACAGTAAATTTTTTAGCCTTTAATTTTGTGAAATTGATCACTGGTTTATCGACACGCTTTTGTCAATTATTACATTATTCTATTGTACACTACCGATCATTTTAGGATGGAGTTCCTATACTTGCCATCTGATCCACTTCATTCTTTCTCTTCACATTCTACTACTTTGTTGCCTAGTTTGATTCAGAAAACTCACAAAATGCTAACTGATAGCACTTTGAAGCTTTTTGAACACTTTGGAGTTTTACTTATGGAAATTGAAAAACATGCTTATTCATCAAAAGAATTGTGGCGGTTCTATGCTGCGCATGCTTTAGTGATACTTTCGCGTACTTCATGCAATATATTGATTCATTTCCACTCTTATCGATACAGGTTGGTTTTCAATTAGAAATGTTATGTAACGAAGATAGAAAACACTGACCAGTACTTATTTTCTAACAATGTCCGAAATATCTCTCCATATATCGTCAGATTCAGCATATGCTTAGCTGAAGTTAGCATTGATGTTTTAACTTGGATTATGCTTGCACGTGAAAATGCTTAAAATATATTTTTGTCTTTTGCGTAATGTATGGTTTAATCCTCCATCTCTCCAGGTTTATATTTTGCTGTCGCTCACTTTTATTGGATGAAGTTGATTGTATCAGACGCGTTGCATTCCGCGCGCTTAATGTATGCGACAGTGGAGCTGCTTTATCCTTTTCTTGGGATCTAGCTAATAAGGTTAAAAGTGAGAACTTTTTGCAAATATTTGATATTTTTTCATTAAAATGTAAAGATTGAACAAATTACATGGTTCTTCTTTTTTGACTTGACACACAGGAAACGTATCTCGTTGTGTGTGGTTTTATCATCAAAAAATAACGCATTTGGCTTGTTAGTAGTGAACTTAGTAGTAATACTACTTATTAATAGGTTATTTGATTAATTCAACTTGCATTATAGACTTTACCCAAGTTAGATTTAGATTATTGGTAGCTGCATTTTTCATTAAATGCTAGGTCTTAAATATCATTAATGGTATTGGAAGTGATTTTATCACAGAGCGGCTAAAATTTTTCCATATACTGTATAGTGAAATATATCTTCGAAAAATTACCACTTTATGTACTTCTTATAGTTGTAATAAAGAAAAATTATATTCACCAACAGACTGTGAAAAAAATTTTAATTATGCTGATATCAAATAAAATTAATCAGAAGATTCAGATTTAGTCAGTATAGATTTATTCTATAAAAAAAGTAAAAATTTAGAATACTAAAGTAAAATTTAGAATGATATTTGGAAGAAGCCTCAATGAATGCGTATTTTAGTTGAAAAGAACCAAGGAAATTAAGAAAACATTATGGAAAGGCACTGAATTGCAGAGACCCGGCGCTTTTGAAGATTCAAGCTAATCGTGGTAAAACTTAATGCTTTTCACTTTCCTAGATATACTCACAAGAGAACCTTTACCATTAGCAATATTTTATACTGCCTTAGCTTAAAAAAAAAACTTTTCTATATTAGATGGCCTCTATGATACATGAGCAAGTAATTATAGGCATCAGTATGTATCGGGAAGTATTCCAACAAACAAACGGATTGAAAAATAACTATTTTAGAGTTGAAAGTCATATCTAAATTTTAAGATATATTTCTCTTATTGTTGATTGTGATAGATTCTTATTCGTCTCAAATTTTTTATGAATGCAATTTAGTGTAATTTATTTTTAAAATCATTTATTCAAAACTAGTTTATTATCACTTTTTTAATGATGAAATAAAGAAAAATATAACATTATACAATAATTTGTCCGATCTTATAACGGCTCACGAAGCTTGCTGAATTAATCATATGCGTATACTCGCTCTTGCTTTGTCCATAATTTCACGTTTGATTCGCGGATAGTTCGGATAAACTTCTAGCACGCGATGGCATATTTCAATGCATTCGAACAATCTCCGACATTTCAAATAGTTATAAGCAAGTTTGTAGCCTATATTCATTTCTGCATTTTTTATCCAGATTTAATTAAGTAAGATAATAAGTGACTAATTTGTAGATTATCATTAACAGGGCACATTTTGCCTTTTGTAACTGCTTTATTCACGCCTTAAAGTATTTATTCCTTATTTTTTCATGGAACCAATAGGGATTATAAAAATCCTACCGATAGTTGGATTTTTGTATTTGCTTAAACGCCAAGCTTCTTCGTAATTTGCGGCTGCTTCATCCCATTTCTGCTCTCTTTCACATATATATCCTTTGTATTCAAATGCTTTCATTGAGCTCTGAAGACTTCACTGGTTTATGACCCCATTTTTTTAACTTCGGAATTTGCTTTTTACCTGGATCTTGCCAAATAATATTTCAGATATTGAACATTTTCTTGAGCAAGGCCCAATCACATACAGTAATGGTTAGACGTGAAATAAGTAAATATATTTAGCTTGTGAATCAATTGCCACATTAAATTTTTGAAGGTCGTTACCGCGTTGTGCTGCAAAACAGTTCGCAATATGTCGGAAGCTTGATCATTCTTGCTTTGATTGATATAGAGATCAGCTAACAGCAACCAGCCTGCAAGTGGTTATTAGAGATTATTCGAATTTCAAAATAATTTTTTCAAAATTAACGATTCGCTGATTTCTGATCTATGCGATTTCCATCAGTTTCTTGAATCGCTACGAGCACATGCTTCTTAATATCATTAATCCGTATCACAGCAATATTGGAAATTAAAAATAAATTAAATCAAACACCACTGACTAATCATGGTTTGATTTCAAATTTAATTCGGAAAAAGCTAATCAAACTATGGGAAGGAAGTACATTTCTCCAAATAATCAGCATTTTCCAACGTCCATGGGTAGTCAAGTACATGTTTTAGCTGAGCTTTCGCTTTTGGTATTTGTTTTAAAATTAAATAAGCTCGAGCTGAACCAAGAAGTGCGCCAACACTTACCGCTTCCTAGAAAATATCGATTTATTATTATTTTTTTTTTTAAGTTTATAAGAAGGTTTAATGGTACAAATGCATTTCGAAATAACAGCGCAAAAAGCGAACTGGATTTCCAGTATCGGCCATGCTAAGAAAATTGGTCAATGCCTGTTGCACATTTCCGCGATTGCTACTCATCAACAGGATGAAATTTTCCATTAGTCGATATTTGTAGTCTAGTCCAGGCTTATGTTGTAATTCCTGCAAAAGTTTTCGGAATAGTTCTTATCTGAGTTTCCTTCCACATTTAATCGCTAGAGGAAAAATAAAATAAGTTTTGGCTTTAATGTTATAGTGCATTCTGTTAATTCGTTTATATATATTATTTCTGTTTCCAAACTTTCCCCTTTAAATATCGCCTTCAACTGTTTACTAATGGTTACACGTATATGGGAATTATTAGGCTCAAGGTTGGCACTATAACAAGTTTCTATGCAGTTTCTATGCATACTAGGCTATCCGTAGCCTTAGTAAAATGAAAGAATTGCAGTTAAAATATATGACCAGAAGATTTATGAATTTGGAAACCTTTTAAAGTTTTTTAGTAAGTTGTTTTGTTGGGAAAATCAAATGATTAAATATTAAGATTTCGACACTTTGACCATTTTGTTTTTAAAGAGTGAAAATCAATCCCTTTAAAAAGATTAAAAATTGGTGAACTGGAAGTCGCACTACTTATTTTTCTACATGTTGGTCCAATGCTGTTTGTGGTAATACTCTGTCTAGTACATGTCTAAGTACATGTCTGACTAATTAATTGTCTAGTACATGTCTAATTAATCATAAATCTCATGGCGTTACTGCATTTCTACTTTGCTTAACTCTTTTTCTCTTTACAGCCTAGTATAAATTTTTTCATGCTCTAAAAATAAGGTTAACCTTCTCTCTCAGCAAATGTTAACTACGCAATAATTTTTTTACATTACTTTACAGACTTAATACTGTAAACAAATATTTGACATATAAACATTGATGAGTACTCTTAATTTCAATAAAGAGCCAATATAAATTTAATCAACGTTACTCTCAGCAATCCTCCTGCTGTCTTCGTACCCATTTCTCTATTATTTCCATTGTTTCTGGAATAAATGGTCATTATTTTCCTGTTCAAAATTAAAAAATTGGTATAATTCTGATATCATCTTCCGCTATCTTATTAAACATGATTTTTCCTCTAATATTTTAAAAATGTAAATCTAACTATATAAGCGTACCAAAACTAATCCGGTAGAAATCTAACCAAAATTTCGAAAAACGAACGTATTGCTATCCTGATTACAATCAAGCGTTCCTCCAATTATTTCGTTATCTGGATTTAAGCATATTTCAATCATATTATAAGTGGCTCGTTCACCCCATTCCAGATCACGTCGTGCACGATTGAAAGCTTGTAGTGCTGCATTTGGATCTCCAGTATACCTAGAGATTTTAGATCTATCATTGGCATCTTTAGTCATTTAAAATTGAGTTTTGAACTTTATCACTTAGATTTTTAATAAAAAATAAAAAAAGACTATAGTATCATTACCATTCATGAAGTCCTTTACAGTAATTGAAACCAGCATGAAGTATAGCACGAGGATTTGTATTGAGAGCATTTCTCAGATATTTTTCCGCTTGTTCCACATTACCTTTCCGCCAACTCAACTCAATACATCTTGCTAGCGCATAGTATTGATCTATATAATCAAAATTGTAAAATTGTATCACAAAGAAGGAAAATGCATTTTACCATATGCTTCGAGCATTGTTTAAGTCTTCAATATTTCTTACTTGAAAACTTGAATTACTTAGAATTTATTTTAGTTTAGTCGATCATAAAATTTAAATACAACTCAACTTTGATAAAAAAGATTTTTTAACACTCATTATAATATGGATCCCAACTGAGTACACTAAGATGAAAATACAAAATTTCAAATTGTAAACTATGATTACTTGGATTTCTATTAAGCAATTGTGTAAAGTGGATTGTTGCTTTATCGGCTTCGTTCGACTGATACAACAGATCAGCCATCATCTGCAGTAAAAAAATCCCAAAATTCTGCAACTGTTCACAATGACAGACAAAAACATGTGCAGATTGAGGCAAAAATAACATACCAGTGTAGCATGATCGTTATTCCTATCAACATTCAGAATCAGTTGACACTGTGTATTGCAAGCATCCAGTTTTCCAAGCCAGAAATATAAATTTGCAAGTGCTGTCATTATCTAAATTTCAGATTTTAAATGTTAACTGCAATTTGAATTGAAAACAAACTATATATTAAACTTGATCAAAAAGTAAATGAATGACGAAATAAGATCATAATTTGAATTTTAATGAGATATTTGCTTTCACTTTCATTAATGAAGAAGCAATAACTTCAAATAAAGAATATGACAAAAAATTTAGTACATTATTATTGATTTTAGGAATATCATTCCATCTCACACTTCTATTTCTTCTCGTTCATGAAAATCGACATATTAGCTCGCTAAAAATAAGCATTCGAGTACGATAGTTTTAAAAATCTTGTCATTTTTCACTTGAATGCCTTCTTTTATTTCACTATATTCAATTTAGTTGCTTTTTTTCATTTGAAATTCTTGCCTTAATATCTGTGTTGTTTAAAAAAATAGCTTCTTGATAAAGATCAATTGCTGTATTACCGTCCCTTTGGTTCCAATGTAGTTCTGCTAGCTGACAGCTTATCCTGAAAATATTACACTGCACTTCTGATAGAATACATTTCCCAATGCAAAACTGTCAGGAAAATTTGAGTTTTATTTAACACATAATTCTCTTGTCTAGAAATTTAAAATTTAGAAGTGATTAGTTTTCATCGACATGATAATTAGATACAAACATCTAAAGGCTAAAAAATATGAAAAATTGATGATGAATAAGGAAATATACTTTGCAGCAAGTTTTTTCTCATCGGCAAGATTTGCAACTTCGCCTGGTGGTTTTGCAACTATAGATAATTGAATTTCACGAGCACGTTCTAGCGCTGTGGTTGCTTCTTTCCAGTTACCATTTTCAAAATGCAATTTCGACAGCAAAGACCAATAAGACACATGGTCACTCATTCGAGCTACGTCTGAAAAAACAATCCAAAATTTAATTATCCCAAAATGAAAATTAGAATTTTTAATTTTAGATCCGACCAAATTCAGTTATAAACAAAGCTCTATGTTTTGAATTGTTACAAGAAATATTAATTTACCGGTAGGATTCTGATCTGCATCAAGTGCCTGACGCAACACTTTTTCGCATTTCTCATAATATTCGAGCTGAAATAACAGTTCCGCCAAGCGCAACCTCATTACTGATTTACGTCCACTTTTCAGTGCCGCTTCATAGTAATTAATTGCCTGAGGAATGAAACAATTTTTTTTTGAAAACAAGGCTTTATCAGTAACAGCTTTTTATAGATTGCTTATCATTTTCAAATCTCTAAATTCAAATTTTCATTAAACATCGATATGTATCTGATCATAATACAGCGATGATACAATCATTTCGACCGACTTTTCTCTAACCATCCTTAGAACATTTTTGAATTTTGAAAGTTCTTTTTATGTTTAATGTAAAATGAAATTAAAGCACCTCCGCATAAAAATGACACTGGACGTATGCTTGGCCGATTTTTTCAGCCAATGCATCGTCTTTTGGATTGCTTTTCAGTGCAGTTTCATATACTTCAATTGCTCGGACAGGCTGAAAAAAGTTTTTTGCAACTTAAATTTTTTCAATATCTTCCAAATAAACGAGAGGTCGAAATAAATAAGGTTGGAAAATCAATAAACCTCCTGTATGCTCATGTAAGCATCGCCAAGCAATATATACGCCATTGGTGATGGATTGTTTTGCACAAGCTGCCTGAAAATGCAACTTTAAATAGGAAAAAAAGTCAAGTAATAAGAAACGAAATTGAAAGTAAATGTGAAACACATTTCACATAAGAATGAGATTTCATGGAGGTCAATTCTCAAAAATACATTTAATTAAGTATGAATTATACCAAGTTAAGTGTATTAAATGGAGAAACAAAATCCCGAAATTTTTGAACCAACATTTAGAGCTTGCTACACTCAGAACTGTTAGTTTTGTAAATATCGAGCCAATATAAGCAGTAAAAAGTTCCTCCTTAACGAGCTTAATAAATGTATTTACAATATATTTATATGGTATTGTTTAACCATAAACATCAAATTAAATCATGTATTAGATTTAGGCAAATAGTGACTACTCGATAAGTTACAGTAAATGTAATACGTCAATATGAACATCAATCGAAAGCTAAGTTGGTAAAAAGCTTTAGTGACATGCTTAATTATTGAAAATTGCAGTATTTTCTAAAACTAAAATTACTTTTTAATTTAGAAGTGTCAAGTGGCAGGATAATGCTAGTATCAATGTAATATTAAGATTTTTTCACTATCTTAAGGCTTACAATATCTATTAAAAATTTACTGAAAGAAAAATGACTGAATGAAGATTCTCGAATTTTTATTTTTCTTTAATTGAAGAAAGCAGAAGTAGCACATACTTGAAGCAGACAGCAAATTTTCGTTTATCCTTTTTTTCGTTCAAATAAATTTCAGCCATTTTAATACGAGCGGCTTGATAGTTAGCTTCTGTAGGTGGTACAGATGCAAGCACTTCTAATGCACCATTAACATCTTTACGCTGTAATTTCAGATTTGCTTCCATCAACACGAATTGCTGTTGTTCCGTTTTGCCAGCCCAGCGTTCGTGCGCTTCTTTCATTACCGCATCAACTTCTGCCTTTAAATATAGATAGAGTAAATCTTTAAAATTTAAAAAAAAAAAAAGATATTCAGCCAAAAAAATCCATCGTACAAGTTGTCCAAGTTGCTGATAGGAATCCATCAATTCTAGGTAGATAGCAATACGATCTGCATCAACAACTTCCAAATTCTGACGTTTTTTTGATTGACCTTTAAAATTTTTTAAAATCTTTTCAGTTATATCGATAATAAAATGAAATCATACAAAAGGAAAGAATGAGGATTGAGATTTAATTGTAGCAGAAATTTAATTGATTTTGTTTATAGTGAGACAACAAGTAAAGAACAAAGAATTGTGTATTTATTCACATCAATCTTGGAATAAGCAGAGGTTCCCAATTTAATATGGTAAAGGAGCTAAAGGGCAGCTAGTATGTCTTACTTGCGACTTCTAATTCCAAGCTTCTTATAATTTGTAAGAAATAAGTTTCACCGAGGATATAGAGTAAATTCGCGCTAAAAAATTAAAGACATACTAGCTTTGAACAAAGGTAGTTTGATTGCTTTCTGCAAAGTTTGTATCGATGCATCGATTTGTTGTGAGTTCTTTTGAAGTTTTGCCCTGATAAGGTAATACAGAGGATGTTCGCGAACTTTAAAATTATTACTCAGGCCAATATCCAAACATTTACCAGTCTCGTCATAATTATTTTTATGCAGATGAATCTGAAATGTTGAAAAAAATTCGAATTTCCATAAAAGAAGTTTATCATAATTTAGTTCCTAAATATTATTGTACCTGTGCCATAAGTAAGTGAGCCTCTGGAGGAGCATCACTTTTATCAATACAATCTGATAATAATCGTTCTGCTTCAGCAAAATCCGTCGAAAGATATTTGGCTTTGGCTAAGAGATATACAGCGATCCACAATGCTAAAATATATGAAAATGATAACGAAGTAAGTGGCCCATAACTTTTTATTTGTTAAGCATTAGATTTATTTCTCGTAGCAATATTCAGTGCCTGCTAAGCTTGATATATTTGTATGAAGATGAATCTCGTATTTTCATTTAGTAAAGAAATCAAATGACAAAGAATAGATAACCTGGACAATGATTCCGAACAAGCGTTAGGATTCTATCAATTTCTTTTAGTACAACATTAGCGGAATTCTCTGGCTAAAAATTCACGTTTTATATGAATGTTTTATATCATATTTATGAATATTTGACTTGACTTAGGTGTTTTTATTCAGCCTAATTTGATCAATTGTTGTTTGCTCAACTTTAAATATCATTTTCAACATACTAAATTTCAAAATTTTTACAGTAAGTGGTGCAAATTCGTAAAGTTCCAGTGCCATATCAATTAATAAGTTTGGATCCAGCAACATCAAATAATCCACACCGAAAACAGTGCTCTGAAATATTTGTTAAAAATTTACCACTTTCGCTTTTTTTTGCAGGTAGCTTTTTTATAAATGCAAAATGCAATAAACTTAAATTAAATTAGCTCTGGGAAGTGCTTCAAGTAATCTAAACTGAGACTGATTTTGATAATTAATCTATCCAAACACTACAGCTGCTAGAAAGATAATAACAGCATGAAAGAGTTGTTAAGATCACAGAAATAGCAGTGCTAATAATAAGTGATATATTATACAAATGTATGTAAATGAAATGAGCAAATTTTAATAAGAAAAGGGAAAGTAAACCTGTAATGCTGATAGATGCACATTCACTGCATTCTGCATTTTTTGGAGAAACTGTTCAAATGGTTTATGTTGCTCTTTATCCAATATTGCCATTTGGTAGATATACACCTGAAATTTTTAAAAATCTAAAATGAATTATAATTCCTAAACAATGAATGAATTGTCAAAGCGAGTAAATATGAATTAAGTTTACGCTAGTTTGACAGATATTCGGGTGTGTTGCTTTTATGAATTCCATCTGAGTGATTGCATCATCGATGTGACCTTTTGCAATGAAACATTGTGCTACACCTATAAAAAGTCTTATTCTGATCTGATCCAAACATATTTATTAAATAAGAAATAGTTTCAGAAAAATCCAAGGACATTTATGATTGATCATAAAAATTGCTATAAAAGAGAAGAAAATCAAGGAAAACATTAATTGCTACGAATTAATAATTCTCCACTGTGGGTAACAGAATCTTTTAACGCTTCGAACGCAATTGTTTCAGCTGCTTTAAAATCTCCGCTTTGTAGTAGTAATCTCACTTGTTCGCACAAATAATCCTGATTTTTCGTCACTGAAACTGCTCTTTCAAGCAACTTCCTGCAAGTAATTTTTGATTATTAAATATAATTTTTTTCAGAACCAATTAAATTGAAATAAACAGACAAAGTGGGAAATACATAGAATTATTTTGAAATTATCATGAAACAAAGAAGCTTTCCAGAATTACAAATCAGAATGACTTAATTTGTAAGTTTTTATTAGTAGTTAATAATATGTAGGGACCATATTGCTAAGAGAGCCTTATTGTTGTACTTCGAGAGATACAGCATAACATAAATGAGAGTTAACACCTAAAAAATTTTCCAGCAAATAATAGTGCTAAAGAAGCTCAACCTAAATCATTTGAAAGAAAAATTAAAAATGGAAAACCTGAAACAAAAAGAATAAGTAAAATTAAATAATCGAGTTGATCCATACTTAACGAAGTTCTTTCTATATACTTATCTCCGGTACTTTAATTTACATTGCTTTGTTGTTAATAAACAAGTTGAAGCAATGAAAAATTGGAAAAACCTAGCAAATTTAGCTGCTGGATGATCAAATGCAGTGATTCGAATGATAAGTTGAGCAATTTTATGATGCAATTGATAATTTTTTGGCTCGTTTTTCTCGATTGCTTCTGCAAGATTTTGCAGGGCATTTTCAGTCTCTTTTACACGGCTCTTTATAACCAATTCATGAATTACTTCTAACCAACGAGCTTGCAAACAGTCATTCTAAAATTTCATTAACAACTTTACTACTTTTAGAGATTATAACTTAAATTGAAATTACATCCCTGAATCTTGAGAACATTTTTTCTTTCGCGTCCAAAATTCATGTAAGTATAAAGTTATTTCTAGAATAAGTAGAATTTTGGAATGTTATAGAAATTTTCGAAAAGCCACATATGGCTCTTATCAAAAGTACTTAAATTCAAATTTAAGCCAGCCTAATAATATTGATATTTACATATTCGGCTAGAAATACCTGTAGCAATAGCGTCCTTTGTACTTCTTCCATGCAATGTTCCCAATCATGACTCATCAAATATGCTTTACAATATTCAATATATCCCGGAAGAAAAATTGGAACTTTCTTTATCAAAGTATAAAGAACTTGACGCAACTCTGTCAAATTTCTTCGTCTTTCCAATAAACGTGCCATTTCGATGTATGCAATCGGATACTCTAAAAGTTCAGACATTATTTTTATAACTTAAAACACTTAGAACTACTGCATAATACTGAGAATTCTTCGGGAAAATTACACCAAACTTTTTTTAATGTAATAAACAGAGAGGAAATTAAAATTTCAACTATGTAATAAATATAGGAAATTAATTTTTTAACAACTGAAGATAAATTTTGTCACTGATTGTGTAACTCTCCAAGATAAAGTTATTATTTTCTCATTAGGATTCCATAGCAAAAAATGATGCTAATAGACTTCCTGCATCGCTCAAATATAAAACATACCGAAAGTTTATAAAGAATATGCATCGAAAGTTTATAGAAAATATGTTCATAGAAAATCACGGAAATAAACAAACCTGCTGCAATGCCTTTTTTAAAAAGCTTTTGCGCGATGTTTATGTTTTTGCCATGATTGAGTTCAATCAAAGCTTGAAGAACAATTAACTGGAAAATGTTGTTATTAAAAATTCAACTTGAAATTACACTTACCATACAAGAAGTTTAATAAAGCAATTAAAAATGAGAAAAAAAAAACACTTGAATATTGTTGGGATCAGTTGATTCTTCGATTAAGCAACGAGCTTTGTCATTGCTATCAAGCAACATATAAACTACTGCGGCATTATATTTCGCCTTCATATCTGCATTATTGCATGCCTCATTGATAATTCGATCCAATTCAGATATTTCTTCTCGATCTATGATAAATAATCATTTTCAGATCTTTATTCGAAGAACAAATTTTCTATGCCTTTTTGGAAATTTTTTCATATATCTGTGATGTCAAATTCCCGAAGCAATCATTTCACTCTATATATTTTAAGTTGCAAACAAACTTAAAATATAGATATAAACCTGGATTTTTTAGTAAAGCATGTGCTGTTCGAAGAATCACAGATGCTGCTAAGCCAATAATTGTATCCTGACGAAGCGAGTGAAGCAGGCGTACCACTTCCACATACTGACCTTAAGCTAACAATTTCATCAGAACAAAAAGAATGAAACACAAATTATTCAAAATCAAAAATTTTCGAAGTAAAATACTATCACATGATTACTTCAGGATTAAGTAAGAAAAAGATGTAAGTTTAAGAGATTATCATATATCTGATGCTTGTAAAAATTACGATGAAAAAAAAATAATGTCGAAAATGATACCATGCTTAATTAAAGCAATTGATCGGAATAGTAAGAGTTGTCGAGAATCACTTGCTTTATGCAATTCCTCATCACAAATTTTTAAAGCCGTTCCGTAATATCCCTCTTGAAGATGATAAAATATATTGCAATAGAGTGACCATTCCACCTCTATTAACTCTTTATTAAGTGCTGCCATCTCAGAATTTCAAGCAGATCATATACTTCCTGATGGAATTTTTAGCTGCTTAGAATAGTACCAGTTGATTGTCGACAAAAAAAAAAAGCATTCTATATCATATTATCAAGCTTTTTTTTTCGGCTAGTCAATTATTGTTAATTAAAACGGTTATTGGCTTGACTAATAATTGATTCAATTAATTTTCCTGATTATTTTTATTACAAATATTTCAGTGCATTTATTCATTCCAATCGATCAGTTGTAAATAAATTGATGTTCATGATATTCATTGAAAGATCGGAAATATCGAGAAAGCAAACGAATGTACAAATGCGATTTTTGAGGATGAAAGATTTATTGAAAAGATGATATTTGGCTAGTTTAATTGGTCAGAAATAGTGAAGAGAAGAAAGGTATTCAATTTTCTCGATTCAGGAAGAATGAGAATAGTTTAGTTTCTCGGATAGTTTCTCGGTTTTCCCTTGTACACATTTATAGAAAAGATATTTTTGCGATAAATATAATATTGCTTAATTAATAGAGAAAAAACACACTGCATCGTAACTATTAAGGTGATAAATGAGAGAAGGATTTGATGGAATCATCGAATAATCAATCTGATGTGAATGATCATCTTTATCCATTTAACAAATGGTCGATATATAAAACACAAGCAAGATTCACAGATCTTTTGTGTCAAAAAGTTCACAATATAATCAAAAATAAGAAAAATTTTTTTTTGCAATTTTACCATTATTCAGGATTTTTTTTCGCTTGACGATTGACGAAAAGTGCCGAAGCGTTCAGTTGCTTAGCAACGGGACATGATTGCTATCTGAAAACATCCCTTATTCTATCTCTCTTTCAAATCCTGAGAATGGAAACATTTTAATAGGATAAAGTAATGTGATAGGGCATTGTTGTATCGGTGATCATTATAGCCTTTATATCATATTAAAAGCATTGTACAATCAATTATAATTGAAAACTTCCTTGTGTGAAACAAATGGAATGGCAGAATGCATGTCTTTAGTGAAACATACAAATCGCTCATAGTGATTATTTGAACAAGATAAAGCTTTAACAGATCTATTTCTGCATAAATTAGGGATTTTTTGGATAACAAAAGGTCTCCATTCCCTTCACGCTTCGCTATACAGCGTCGAAAATTGTGAGATACAGCGAAAAAAATGTACAGCGTCAAAAAAAAAACGAACCCTAAACATTTTCCCAGATTCATCCTGAAGATGCAAACGAAACAGGAAAAATGTTTAATTTTGAATGAACTATACATTCAGAAAACAATTTTTAAACAGCTTAAATAGTAAATAGTGTTAAAAGAGATCAAACACAATTTTTCTATAGACATAAAACAAGAGGAAAAACAGATATATCGTAGGCATTAAAAATAAAGAGAAACTATTTGAAACATTTGCAGAACAACACAGCAGAATGGCAGATCAACAATGTAGATGGAAATCCTCTCTTCCGTTTGGAGTATTGTTTCAATTGTTCAAAAGTGAATTCCACGTATAAGCAATGGCTGCTTCATTGCTGTAAATCGGCTGTTCTAGCAAAGCATTCCATGGTGGTGTACTCCAAAGCTGATATTGTTTGTATCCAACATGTGGAGTAGCGTCCGAGTTGGATTCTGAAACAAAGAATTTGTTAAGAAGTGGCTGCATTGAAAAATATTAATTCTTGCAGTTATGACAAAAAGTGTTCAGGAACCACTACTTTCCACTTTAAAAAAAAATGTAGATGTCAGACAACTATAAGCGAATTTGTTCAAAAAGCGCTAAATAAAAGAAGTTAATAAGAAACAAATACGTACGTAAAGTATTACTTACCGAGAGCAACAGAGTCACCGCAATGGGAATCACTTCTTGCGTCCACAGAAGTCTTCGATAAAGAAGGTACCTGAAATGCAATACAAAGAGTATAACGCTAGCTACATTGTATAAATTACTCTTTTCCGGACATTCCATATTCTTATAAGTGCATTTTCCAAAAAAATAAGTAATTTCATAGCTTTACCACAACAACAGAAAATTGTGATAATGTTATGAAATTAAAATTACTTATAAAAACAAAACTGATTGAATTTGATTCTAATTTATTCAACAAACATCGCTTTAGTTTTTTTGCTTACCAAATTAAAACTCGGAGCTGTAACAGAAGGATCTGAAGCAAAAGATAGTCCTTGCAGTCCTTCTTTAACATGCTGCACATCAACATCTTCCTGCGATAACGGCTCCCGCCAAGGTGAATCAATCAAAGAGGAAGGTGGAACAGTTTGCGTATCTTTATTAGGAGCTGAAACTTTCACTGGTACTGAAATTCCATTTGCTGATCAATAAGTGCATTAATATCAGCTACCAATCTCATCGTTCTGGTTGATAAAACTAATTCCGCTATGTGCTGCGCAGCCAATGTCTTTTATCAAGATTTCTACAAATTAGATGAACCATTCAAAATTATGTCATTGTGGTTTGAAACAGTCATTAACGATCTAGGAAATGTGCTTGAACGATTCACTGCTTGGTGTAGATGGAGATATCGGATATGCCGGTTGTGATTTTGTAGATGAAATCGATAGATCTCTTTTGTTGTATTCAGATCCACTTTGAGTTATGCTTCCCGTTGATAAATGCAATCTTTTATGCACAACGCTAAACAGTCGCAAGAACTGCAATAATAGAAAGAATCATTTTAATTATCCGTCATCATCTGCAGTTATCTCAAAACTTTCACAATCAGCTGCATTCTGAGAGAATAGTTCCGGTTCAAATCTTTCAAAATTTCACTCAAAAAGAAAAGGGTTCGTTTGTTCATTAGTTTGTCATGCATACAAATGTAGGTGGAGATTTTAACTAATCATAGTTAATGCTTTTTCATTATCGTGCCGCATCTTGATGTGCAATATGTAATACATAAAGTCCTTCGCAAAAAAATACCAAGAATTTAAATAAAATGTCATACCTGCTCGACCTCGAGGACTCTGTAGAAACCAAAACCATACATCTCGGATTTCCCCTGCTTGGAGCTAATAAAGTGCACAAACTTTTTTGTTGGTCTTACCAATTGAAGATTAGAAGAAAGCACGAATCCTCTTACAATCAGCTGCAATTTTATTGAAAATCGAATTATGTTCTCACGTTTTTATTTCATCTAGTTTTCAATTTCATAAGGATATGGCCGAAAATAAAAAAAAACATATTACTGATAAAAAAAGATGTCGATTAGACATCTTTTTTTAGCAGTAATATGTTTTTAAGCCTACGTGACCGCCTCAATTAACATCGACGCATTGAAGGAAATTGCGAAAAAAATCATATAAAACTGATGCCTTAATGCCATCAATAGCGACCAATTTCGTTTCGCGATCTTCCTCGTCATAATACATATGCAGCAGGACAAAATCTTTGGTCATTTCACGCCAGTTGTTTCCTTCAAGCTTGTAAATTTGCACACTGACACACGTAATGTGCCTGAATCTAAAAATCGCTTATTTCATTTTCTCTCTTGCTAATAGAGATTTTCTCAAAAATCCGCATTCATAGAAAATCTGCAAAAACCACTCGACGACCCTGGCAGGGGTCGAACCTGCAATCTTCTGATTAGAAGTCAGACGCCTTATCCATTAGGCCACAGGGTCCACACGAACTATGAACAGATTACATTTTATAGATTTAAAGAAAAATTTACCGATTTTTTAGTTGCAATGTATTATTCCGAATCGAGTTTAACGATTCCATGCTTCTAATCCTGAAATGAAATGATAAGAAAAGGAGCGTTCCATTAAGGTGTCACTAATGCAAGACACTTCGCAAGCAATAAACCAGAACTACTCTTTATCGATTCCGCTTAATTCTGAGTAGTAGATCAACTCGTTACCTAGGAATTCTATCCCTATCAAAAATCTCTGCTGAAGTTAATTTTTACATAATTATTGATCCAAGTTCAATCAATTTATAATTTGTAAATTGATTGAATTTGAATAATTATGCATATAACAAAATATATACGCATAGACATAAGTACGGATTTTTTTTTTAAACTGACATCAATGTCAATTCAATTGAAAAGTATAAATCAAATTTCTAGTTTCAACAGCAAAATATATGAAGATGGAATTACGCATGAAGAGGAACGTAAAGGTCAGTAGTATAGTAATCAAGGAGATAATATGCATCCTTTTAATCCATAAAAACGATATTTGAGAAGTGTTTCATCAATCCCGATTTCCTTCTTACCCCACCATTGCACAATCAAGTCGAAGATCAAAAAATAATGTCTTCATAGAGATATTATTTTTTTGACCTTCAGCTTGCAATCTATCATTTCCTATCACTTCAAATCTTCGCTCAGAAACTCTGATTAGAAAGACCCTTTTATCACAACTAAATTATAAATTTCTTAAAAATTAATAATTAATTCATAAATTAGAAAGCAATGTCTCGGGAAATCTCAGTCGAACAGAGAATAAATGTAGCGGGCCGAGCAAAATAACATCCAAACTCATCGCACCATTCATTCACTCTACAACCACGCAACTCACACGCTTCTAGAAGTTTCTTGGTGATGGAAACTTCTAGAAGCGTGTGAGTTGAATGTCTGAACACGCGTTAATGGCGTTTCATTGAACATTCGAGAAATTCCTGAAAAAAGCATGTAAATTTCAAGCAAAAAAAAGTGAGTGAGAAAAGCATGAAGTTACGTCAAAAGTCTCACGTCAAAATTTGTTAAACTTTCACGGAAATAAACTTGCACGAAAGAAATCAGGAATTAACAATTTATTTCTTTGTTTGATTAACAAATGAAGGAAGGATTGCGTGGGTGGAAGAAGATGAGGAAGTGTTAAAAAATTTTTTTCTTGGATTCCATTCATTTCTTTAGGCTAATCGGAATCAAAAGGGAATTTTTCGATGAAATTCCACTAATTGCATTTGATTAGCTTATCATCGAGCAAGCGAGGAAGTTTACTATTCAAAGCGGTAATGATACAGTAGTGGTGACCAGTGGTCATTAAATAGATATAGCATTGAATGTGAGGAGAAGGGAGAGCGAAGGAGACGAAAAGCTGATAAATAACCAAATTTGTCGCATTCTTTGATCGAGATTGTATGCCCTAATGAGATGTAGCTTGATCGGTTAAGTTAGTAATTCAGTCGGTTATTTTCCTTTGGAATGTATCGGATGAAATGTGTCCATTCCATTGATATCATTATTGCAGCATTAAATTATCACTGATAACCATCGTTCTCTTATAGTATTATATTTCCTCGAGAAATTTGAATCTTGTATTATAGTTGAAATTCTTCTTTTAAACAATCAACCAAAGAAATTTTTAAACATTTTTAAATTTAAATTTAGAAAAAATCAATTTTGGTGAAATTGTAATCATATTTTATTCTTTTTCTTCAGAATTAATTCACTCTTATTTTTTCTCTCTTTTGTCTTGCATTAAGAGTTACATTTAATTTTGTGTCAACAATTTATACTTATAACAATAACATACGGCATTAAAATGGTTGTAACATAGGAGATTAAAATGGTTGATGGTAAGCTAAAATTGAAATTCTTGAGAGTTACAATACAATGGTAATAAACAACACAACTTAACTTTCCATCTAACATTGATAAATCTTTTTTTAATATGCTTTATCAAAATTGACCTTAACTGAATCTTTTATAAAGTTCTCAGATGATGATGCAGTGATAGAAATGATACAACTTATAAATGGTTCTGCAATTTAGCAGGTACAATTAAATACAGACTTATACTTCCTACGTCTCTTTCACTACTAACGTAACTTTACGTGAGTTGTGCAATACACTTATACAGCTCCATATTGTTTATTTGACATTTTGAATAAGTTTAGATGTGATATGTTTCTATTTGTTGAATAACTATAGCCCAGTGATGGATATGATCCTATAGTTGTTAGGTTTTATTGCTCGAGCCAAATATTGGTCTTCAAAATTCTACTTGCAATTACGAAAGCTCAAATGATTAGGAAGAAGTCTGGCAGGGAGGTTCTGATGAACTCAGAAAAGATTTGTTAGTTATTCAGTAAATGAAGGCTTTGATATTTATTTCTATTCTTTCGAAGTTAAGATCAGAGATCAGCAATCATATCATCAAAATTTTGCCAGTTACACCAAGATTTTACATACTTCTTTCCTCCATTTCTTGCAAACAAAAGGAAGAAAGTTGGAAAATTTAAATTGCTAACTTTTTTTGAATAAATTTTAAATTTTCCAAACTTTTTTAATTTTATTTTGCGTAAAAATGCGCATAAACTGAAATTTTCAATCTCTTATTTTCTTCCTTATAAAAATATCTTTTTTTCTTTCAATATTATTTACTTGTACAATGAATCACGGATCATCCAATAAATCTCAAAAAAAGTGTAA